CTGGCAGAGATAGGTCCATAGTTACTATTGAAGTTGAATAGGAAGTCATATACTGGCAATCTAAATGTGACCTTGAAATTGACCTTTGACCTACTTTTCACCATCAACTGAACTTTTCAAATTATTGAACTTGAATAGGAAGTCATATACTGGCAATCTTAATGTGACCTTGAAATTGACCTTTGACCTACTTTTCATCATGAACTGAACTTTGCAAATTTTGCTTCCCTTTTATCTCCAAAACTGGCAGAGATAGGTTCATAGTTACTATTGAACTTGAATAGGAAGTCATTAAAGCCAATTTACTGTGACCATAAAATTGACCTTTGACCTACTTTTTACGATGTATCTCCAAAACTGGCTCGGTGATACCATACACTGTATATAAGTTTAATTTAGAAAAGTGGATAGCAAGATGATGTAATAATAGTACAATGATCAACTGCTTTTCAGATTATTTTCTGAGAACTAAGAATAACTGTAGCAAAGTACATCGAACAGCAGTACAGCATTGTTATTTAGAATTAATCTCCATACAAGCAGTTATAATCTGCATAAGTGCCCAAACTTGGTGTTAGTAACCTCCTAGTTAAATAAATATACCTTAATGGACAAGTCTTTTCACAGTGAACCATCCAGCCGTCCACCTTCCGGACCTTCACACGTACAGCACCTAACAAAGCTGATAGATAAAAAGACAACTTTCACATTGTTAGCGAAAGTTCATTCCCAATGCAGAAGAGATGAGGAGGCAATTTTCATATTTGAGTCTTCGTTGGCCAAAGAGCGAGAGGAGAACGTAATTTTCGTATCCTCAGTGGGAGATCGTTGCAATTGCATATTCGTTCAATGGCTTTCGTTTGCGAAAGATTATCAGCTAGTGAGACAAGAAAGTAATTTTCATATTCAATCAAATGAGTTCGTGAAAGAGCGTTACCGGAAGATCGCTATCAATTGTTTTTAACCATCCCTCCCCACTAAAATTTATAATTTAATTTTTTTTTTCATTTCATTTTAACCCCCTCCCCCTTCTTGTGGACAGGTTGCCATTGTACCCCAATCCTGGAAAAAACTTTGGTTCTGGGTAAAATAATGTAATGGAACTTAATTAAGTCGCCGGAATGTATTTAACTTAAACTGATCATTTTATTACTGGTGAAAATGAAGTGATGATATTTGGCACATTTGATTTTATCTGGCCTTTATCTGTTTGCGTATGTGTAGGCCTATATTTAGCCGTACATGGAGATTTTGAAAATTTGTACTTACAATTTTAAAAGATCTGGTACCTCTGTTTGGCAAAGATACACCTGCAGTTCATATTGAAATTATATGAGATATATGTTAATGTGCCCTTAAGTTTACTTTTTACCAAAACTGCATTTTACAGATTTTCTGATTTTTATACCTTCAAACCTGACAGAAATACACCACATCATACTGTTTACAAGAAATTGTATGTGAGAATAAGTAATTTTTGTAATAAAAAATTTATTTTCAAAAACTACACTTTCAAGAATAATGTTTTGAATAAAAGTTTTGAATCAATGAATCAAAATATCTATTACATGGAAGTACACATTAAAACATTAGTATTATAATATTATAATACGAAGTTAACTATCTGCCTATATATGCATATCAGTAAAATACCTAATAACCTAATAACTAAACAATCTAACGTCTACGTTAATCAAAATGTACTAATCTATGCATACAAGTATTAAGAATTAAAATTTTATATAAATCAGCAATATATAAAAATACAAATATATTTTAAGATTATGTGTATATAAAATTATTTATTTATAAGCATACATAATTTAACAACAAAAAACAAAGAGACAAAGAGATTTTCCCATTAAAATTGATTTAAAAAAAACAAAACAATAATGATCAATATTTTTTACTTAGTGGAAATTTTCAAACCACTGGAATGACCCTTTTAATCAAATTAGACATACCAAATATAATGCAAATATTCTCTTTATCATTATAATGAAGCAGTTAAAACATATATTTATATACATGTATAATAAATTGAAATCACAAAATATGTCAATCGAAATTTAAATTTGAGATATGAAATAAGTATAAAAATATGATCATGATTATTTGATATCTACTAGTTATCATACAAATTGAAATATTTTTCAAACAATCTGTGTATATCTGTACAATACATATTATTAAGCAATCATGTATATTAGAAATAAAAGCAAAACATGGCTTAAACTACACTTTTAAAAAATCAAAACTGTGCGTAATATGTTATCAAATACATAACGCCATTCACATATGAAGAAAATATTTACAAATAATTTACACTAACAATTTTTACATATATACAATGTTTTCATAACTGTTTACACATTTTCATTTGCTATGCATTGTGTATATAATATGTTTTAAATACATTAGAGCATTAACATCTGAAGAATAGTAATTACAAATAATTTACATTAACAGTTTTTACATATATACAATGTTTTTTATAACTGTCTGCACATTTTAATTTACAATGCATTCACGGGAATAATAGTATACACAGGATCATGGTCGCTGTAATACGTACACAGTGTGCCTGTTTCTATAGTGCTTACATTTCCTACATAAATGTGATCTAACAGGCTAGTATACCCTTTGACACCTCTAAATGTTGGAGAGGCAACCATTTGCTTATGGTATTGTAAACTAGGAAGACAAACAGATGTTGTAGGAGCTTTAGACAAATCAATATTGAAGTCACCTAACAAGATTGATGGTTTAATGGGCTGTTTGTTTTGGCTTAAAATTTCTTGTATTTTCCTATTAAAAGTTGGACCTACAATAGATGGTGAACGGTAAATAAAGCTCATATAGTAACCATTAATGGTTATAGTTACACATTCAAAACCCGGCTCTGTAACAGAGTTATTTTTGACCTCTGTTACTTTCAAGTTGTTACGAATATAAACAGCAACCCCACCTCTAGAGGTATCATTTTGACGATCACATCTGATGAGCTGAAAACCAGGTATAGAGTATTTACCAGATGGGACTTTGCTATTTAGCCAACTCTCAGTAATTCCTACAATATCTGCCACAGCCATCTCTGGATTACTTGTTAAGTCTTTGAAATGAGCTGGAAGAGATTGGATGTTGTGACATACAATTGTAAGTGTTTTTTGTAATGGTCTTAAAATAGGTAATGTATCTGGGTTGACAGGTCTCATACTCTTCATTGCATCATCTACTTTAGTGTCACAATACAAGTTTGCTTCATCACTTTTATCGAAACTTAAAAGTTGAAGACCTGACAATTTAGTTGCACGACTTAGTGCAACATATCCAATACCTGGTGCAAACACATGTTTCAATGAAACCACAGCATCAGTGACAGTTTTTCCTTGGGTTTTGTGAACAGTGCAGGCCCATGCTAATTTTAGAGGGTATTGGTATCGAGCCACTTTTACTGATTGCTGATCAAAAAGTTCCACATGTGGCTTAATCTGTACACTGTTTGTAGGGATATTTTCAGGTCTTACTGTTTGTTGCCTGGTAATTGCCCCAATTCTTGGATTATCAAAATGTACCCAGATGTACTGTGGTTGATTAAGTGCTTTTGTACCGTCTTCTATCTTTACGACAGTTCCCATAACACCATTTGAAAGCCCATCACTGACATTAAGATTTGTGGTTAGCATTACTCTTGCATTAACAGCAATTTCTATCAAGGGCTTTAAAGCTAAGGAATCTTTAGCAAAAGGGACCTTTTTCCTTTTTGTTTGTCCTGACCTTGTATGTATGATATCGGCTGCTTCTATTGTAATAATATCAGAGCAAAGGGATTGTAACATATGTCTGTTATGTTCATCAACTTCTTTGTTTCTAGGGAAAATATACAATTTTGATGGATCTGCTATAAGTTGATCATTTACACATGCTAGAAGCATAGCTTTATCATGAGGTTGTAATGCTTGTTCCTTTTTCTTAGTTCTAATGGCATTTAGTAAATTTGCAAATGGTTTGTCATCTTTTTGTCTCATTATGATTGTAAGATTGTATGTAAAAAAATGCTCCCACTCTGATTGATAAAGTTGCCCTGGGTCAGACACATAGAGGGCTTTATCTGCTACAGGTGCTACTTGATAAAAGTCGCCTACTGCCAAAACACTGATTTGTCCAAAAATAGATTCTACGAAAGTGGTTTGTTTAATTTGGTTAAGTCGCTGGCTAATGTTTGTCATCATATTCTGGCCAACCATTGAAATTTCATCAATAATCAAAATTTGAAGATTCCTGTATTTTACTCGAAGTTCTGTTAACAACTCTTCACCAAGTGGTACATATTTTTTTCTGTCTTTACCTTTTTGGCTTCGGATAGCAAAAGCAGAATGAATCGTTTGGCCCTGTATATTAAAAGTGGCTGTTCCAGTATATGCCACTAACAGAACTTTTATGTCATCAGGCTCTTCATTGGGTGAGTTGCCATTTGATGTCAGAATACGTTCTGCTTCAAACCTGAAAGCATTTATAACATGTGTTTTGCCTGTGCCAGCTCCACCAGTTAGAAAAATGTGAAACGGTTTGGGATTTTTGCCTTGACTTTTATGAAGGCACCACTTACGCATATAATTAAAGATTTGGAGTTGTTGAATATTCATGGACTGAACCATTTTTTCTGCTTGTTTTAATGAAATTTGGGACTTTAGGTTTTCAGTTAGTAAGTTTGTTTTTGGGTATGGATTTTTATCTGGTAATGTTTGGTCTAAATCTGGTAACTGTACTTCTTCAGTTTTATCATCACTTTCAATGGGCAACACTTGTTCCATTTTATCATCAATTCTCTGCTCCTCTGCTCCTGGAGCAATATCTGCCCAAGCATCTTCATGATCATCATACGAACGCTGCAGAGCTGTATCAATTACCTCTGCATCTTTCTCAAAAGGGGCACTGTTAGTGTTAACTATCTCACAAATAGGAATATCATCATCATTAAAGACAAAAGAAGCATTGTTATGAAAAGTTTCATATGATGTGAAAGCAGAAGGTAAAATATCTTGACCTCTATGGGGAAAAAACAGACGCAGTCTATTTTCATAATATCTTTCTGGATCACGGTCTACTGACCCCTTTAAATACCTAATCACAATTGGCCTACGTCGTGCACTGATATACCCAAAGTTGTTTAATAAGGCAATGTCTTCTTTACCCTCATTATCACTATCATCATTATCACTCCCTGAGTTTTCTTTGCTTTTTTTGCCCACTTTGGAGCCATACATTCTGTAATTGGCAACAAAGTGTGCAAGGGACATATTCTCAAATTTTCTGTTATCTGGCCTATTCCAGTACCTCTCTAAATCTGACTTTGCCCATATTTGATCCAATCTCTTCTCCCTAGCTTGTTGTTTTAAAATGTTTAGCGGCAAAGACAACCTTGTTGCATCTTTATCTGCTGCTATCCAGCGCACTTCTCTACTTGAAGACTTTAGTTTCATGCCTGTGCATCTGTATATAGCTTCCATAACACTAATTTCTCTATGAGTAATATATACTTTCCCTAGTGTTTTAAGCTCATTGACAGCTTCAGTATTTCCTTCCCTAGCTTCCTTTTGAGCAGCCTTTAAAAGTTCACCCTCTTCACTCTCTTTCTTTGAAATGTAGGATACTATATAACAAATGCATGCATAGGCATCTACAATATATTGTATATCAATATTGGCATCCCACGCTTCTAATAAATGTGGATTATACTGATTAACCCAACATTCCTTCGGTTCCCGCTTTAAAACTATGATGGTTTTCCTAGCTAGAATGCCCATTGAATATTCAAGCCCCTCCTGCGTCATGCCTGCTAACTCTAAACATTGTTGAGCTGTAAGAGATATATTTTTTTCATCACTAGTTATGGTTGCCAATTTCTCTAATGCTTCCCTGGCTGCTTTTCGAATGATATGTTTTGGCTTCTCTTCATCTAACTTTATGGGCTTACATACAAAAGTTCTGGTAGATACTGGTCTAGGAAAATTGAATCTACAAGTTTGGTTCCCTTTCCTGCAACTACGAGAATGATTTTTGCTATGCATTTGCAATTTAGATACTTTTTCAAATAATGCTTCTTCTTCATGTGGCAAGCTACAATTAACAAACTTGTCAATGAAATCTGTTACCTCTTTTTCCTCAGATCTATCAAGCACAGGTGCATCCTTAACCCAAAATAAAGCATGAATGTGTGGCCACCCCCTTTGCTGAAATTCTATCCTATAAAAAAAATCTATCACATTACCAATTGGACATGAGGAAGACTTGATAAGATCATTGATTAGATGATTTGTACGCTTATCAAACATGGCTGCAGCAATAACTGGATTACTATTAATAACCTTACAGTGTTCTGACCAATCCATCTCATCAGGGACTGGTTTTCCTTGGGATTTAAGAATTGCATGGACAATTTCTTTCCAACGTCTATCTGCTGCAGAAAAACTGCAAAACCAAGTTGGGATACCCAATTGCTTCACCATAGCACAAAGATCTTTCATAGTTCTCTCCCAATATGGTGCAGACCCACGAACTTTTGCTAAAAACTTATAACCTTCATTGTTTCTTAATATGTTTTTTAATGATTCTTCTGATTCAAAACTATCTATACTGATGTTACCTGGTTTTGCTGAACCTTTTCTCTGACTTATTTTTGCTGAAGACAAAACTTCTTGAAATTCTTTTATGTACTGTAAATAAAATATGTATTGCGTATTCATGGCAAATTTGGTATCTGCAGAAAACAGTCTACTTTTAATATATTGGCTAAATGTTAACTTGTGCTTCCGTTTTTCTGAAAAGGCATTTTTCCCATTTGGGAATAAAGTTGGAAAAGACTGCACTTCCTTATTGAATGATGATTCAGGATGTTGATTTTCTGCTGGAGCAAAACATAATATTCTGTCTTCGTACTTATCTGATATGTACTGTGACAAATCTTCTGGTTGCAGGCATGTTACAAGAGGTGCACTTGTTTCTGTAACTTCATCTTCAACATTATCTGAAGAATATATATAAAACAATAATCCTATTTATCAAAATATTTCATGTAAGTGTTTGTATACATTCTGATTAGTCATTGCTGTTACTGTTGCTGTCAGACGCATGACATACCCAATAACTGTTAAACTGTATTTTTTACTTTAGATTTACAGTGTTTTTGTTTTTTGTTTTTTTCGTTAAGAAGCAAATTGCTTTAAAAAATCCGCAAAATCTGTTTCATTTATAGTATTTTTGTTTTACTTTAAATTTACAGAGTAGCTTTGTTTGATAAATAGGCAGGTTTCTTTTGATGGGCAGCATGATCAGTTTCCATTAACATTAATTTTTCTGTTTTTTTTTCTTTGTAAATTTTCTGTCACAAATAAGCATTTTTAGTGGCTTTTGTATCCCATGGAAATAACTTTCTAGTTTTTCATTATTCAACAAATAACGTAGTGCACAAAATTCATTTAATATTCATGCTTACATTTTGAATCTTCCTTGCTTATAGTTCTTGGGTCTTCTTCCACATCTACATTGGTTTCCGCTAAAATAAATAAATAAATAAATAAATAAATATATATATATATATATATATATATATATATATATATATATACAATGACTACAATAAAATATTTTAATATCACATCAATGAAATATTTTGATGGCACTTAGGATACAAACACTAACATATTAGTAAATTTTAATGGTTATAATTTCATTGTTTCCCAACTTGAATTTATCTCCTTAAATATATATATATTCATTTTTTTATTCATGCTTACATTTTGATTGTTCCTTGCTTGTAGTTATTGGATTTTCTTCCACATCTACATTGATTTCCACTGCAATAAAAAAAAAAAAAAAAAAAAATATATATATATATATATATATATATATATATATATATATATATATATATATATGACTACAATAAAATATTTCCATACCACATCTGTAAAATATTTTGATGGCACTTAGGACTACAGAAACTATAATTCAATCACATAAACGTTTTCAGTAGCTTTTATATACGAGCTCGTATATCCCATGGAAGTAAATCACTCGCTACTTTTTCCATTATTGTAAAGTGTTTGTGTATGTGTGTGCATAATATACTAAATTGACACAGGGAATTACAAAAACTATATTTTAGTTTGCTTTTCATGCTTACAATTTGGATCTTTCCTGCCTGATGTTTGAGAGTTTCTTTCCACATCTATATTTATTTCCACTGAAATTAAAAAAAAATGTTACACAATAATTATCGAAGAAAATTTTATGTCACAGAACAGTACAGTAAAATACTTCACAGCAACTATTAATAATGTAAAAACATATAAAAACAATCATTTAAAATATTGTACTAAGGACACAATTTAATTTCCATGCCTACAGTTCACTTGTTGCAAGTTTGAATTTTCATTATCATCTTTATTAGGTACCTCAAGTTCATTTACAGAAAAAAAAAGTACATACCATTTTCACCTTGTTCATAAGACTTCATTCCCTGATATTTTTCTTTTACAGTTGTTTCAGAAACTTCCTGATCCCCAGTTTCCTTATTTATAGTTTCTAAATCTGTCAGAAGAAAAATCAAATACATAGTATTTATCATATTAGATATTACTCGTTATATTTAATTCTTATCATTTAGTTTAACACAAACTTTAATTTTTATTACTAATTACTTTACCTGTTATTTCAGTGTCCTCATTTGTAAGGTGCAACATAGTACTTTCGACTCTTCTTTCATCATAGGCAATAGCTAGAAATGATAAATAGATTCTTTTTGAACACTTAAAAATCCTCTCATTGTTAATTCTACTAGTAGTTAAATTCATATAATGCCATTATTATTCAGAAAAAAAAAATTATTTGTACATTATGTAACATATTCTTTTTGAATTACTTTTCTATTCAACTATGGTAACAACTTGAAAATTTTATAATTTATAATACAATTGATACATGGAAATGTGTGCACATAACAATACCTTAAACAGCAGAATCAGCAAAAAATTGTATACTGACAATTTTTAAAGATACCAAATACTTATTACTTACCAGAAAAATCAGGATGGTTTTGCAAAAGAAAATTAAAAGCTCTTTTCACTGCTTGCGGATTAATTTTCTGGTACAGGTGGTGACCTTTGTATGCAAGTTTTCGCTTCAATTTTACTCTAATTAGTCCACTTTCATGTGGCAAGGAAGGTAATCTCGTAATTGTTTCTTTGACGTTGGCTGGAACACAAACAATAGGACCATGCACTCCATGCTGCTGGCTTTTTGGCAGTGAAACAATTTTCATGAATGGTATCACAGGTGTTAACAGTAATTGTTCAATTGGATTTAAATCTCCTATATCTTGTGGCATGTCCATAGTTTTTATGCTATTCCCATCATAACTAATAGGTGATACCTTCTTCTGAGACATTTTCCGGTGACAGTAGGTGCAAATTACTTTTTCTGGTCCCATATCTAGAATTTTGCTGGAAATTAATATGTCTTCCGTATAATTTTGTTCTTGAAATTTTTGTATTTGATTCTTAAAGCGAAGCCGATAACAACAACAGCACACATACTCAGGAAGTTCCTTGCATTTTGTATGAAAATTTTCTATGGCAAATTTTATGTGTGTTTGCTGTTCTTTTAGCTTTTGCAATTTAAGTCTTTGAGATTGTACTCCACGTGTGGTCTTTCTCCATTGTCTGTCCAACTTCCTTCTATGTTCTCTAATATGCTCTTGTGCACGATACCTTTTTAACCTTTCCTGTTCTTTTTCTTTTATTTCCCTCTGCAAAAGATATGATTTTCTTTTTAGCTTCTTCCTTGATATATTATTTTCCTTGGAAAGGTAAGCCTTCTCTCTTCTTTCTCTGGCAGCTTTGGTTTTCAATTCAGCACGCTTCTTAGAGTCCCGTTCTTGGATTCGCTTTTTTACATCAAGTTTGCTACGATGTTTTCTTTGTACCTCTTTTTTTCTTGTTCCACCATTTCCCTTGGAAAGGTAAGCCTTCTGTCTTCTTTGTCTGGCAGCCTTGGTTTTTGGTTCAGCCCGCCTCTCAGAGTCCCGTTCTTGAATTTTCTTCTTCACATCAGACTTGGAACGATGTTTTCTTTGTACCTCCTTTTTTCTTGTTCCACCATTTCCCTTGGAAAGGTAAGCCTTCTCTCTTCTTTGTCTGGCAGCCTTGGTTTTTGGTTCAGCCCGCCTCTCAGAGTCCCGTTCTTGAATTTTCTTCTTCACATCAGACTTGGAACGATGTTCTCTTTGTACCTCCTTTTTTCTTGTTCCACCATTTCCCTTGGAAAGGTAAGCCTTCTCTCTTCTTTGTCTGGCAGCCTTGGTTTTTGGTTCAGCCCGCCTCTCAGAGTCCCGTTCTTGAATTTTCTTCTTCACATCAGACTTGGAACGATGTTCTCTTTGTACCTCCTTTTTTCTTGTTCCACCATTTCCCTTGGAAAGGTAAGCCTTCTCTCTTCTTTGTCTGGCAGCCTTGGTTTTTGGTTCAGCCCGCCTCTCAGAGTCCCGTTCTTGAATTTTCTTCTTCACATCAGACTTGGAACGGACTGTTTTCTGTAAGATCTTCTTCCTCAAATTTACATCTGGCTTGGTAAGATAGGTATCTTCTCTTCTTCTTCTGGCAGCTTTAACTTCTGGGTCTGCACGGCTTTTAGACTCTAGTTCCTTTTTTCTCTCTTTTCTTTGTTCTCTTTTCTGCATATCTTCAAAATGTCTCTGCTTTTGAAAGTATGACTGCAGTTCAGAAGGAAACAAATCAGTAGCAGTAGTAGCAGAACAAGGCGTCACTTCGAAAGCACAACTGTCACTAAGATTCAAGGACACTGCCAATTCTCTCAAGTAATGTACTAAACTAACTTGTGTATTTAATTCTAAAACTACAGCTTTCCCATTTGGATCTCCGAGCCCATTGATATTACGACTATGGGAATCAAAGATGAAATGCCTTCCATCATGCATTGAAAACACCATTGTTGCAAAACTCAAGTGTTCAGAGCCCATTAAGAAGAAAAAATTACCAGTTTGTGTATATGCAATGTCTATAGCTTCTTCCAAAGTGTAGAACGGTAGCTGTGTTTCCAATAAATTCAGCGATCCATTTAAAGATTCTTGGATATTAATAGTATAGGTAGTTTCATTATATTCAACTCTTGATGGCAACTCATTTATAAGCAAAAATGTTTGGCTCCCTCTATTCCTCTGATAGACAACATC